ACATTCATCACACCCATATAAGAGCGTTGGTAAAACTATACTCTCATACATTCCCCTCTTTGCCTCCATGGACAAAGTTCTTTGTCTCCACAGACTCCTAAGTGCACCACTCACCCTTTTCCCCTCATCAATTCTATGATTCACCTCATCTTTCATAGACCCATCCGCTGACACGTCCACTCCCAAATATCTGAATACATTCACCTCCTCCATACTCTCTCCCTCCAATCTGATACCCAATCTTTCATCACCTAATCTTTTTGTTATCCTCATAACCTTACTCTTTCCTGTATTCACTTTCAATTTTCTTCTTTTGCACACCCTACCAAATTCATCCACCAATCTCTGCAACTTCTCTTCAGAATCTCCCAAGAGCACAGTGTCATCAGCAAAGAGCAACTGTGACAACTCCCACTTTATGTGTGATTCTTTATCTTTTAACTCCATGCCTCTTGTCAAGACCCTCGCATTTACTTCTCTTACAACCCCATCTTATTTTTTTTTTATTATCACACTGGCCGATTCCCACCAAGGCAGGGTGGCCCGAAAAAGAAAAACTTTCACCATCATTCACTCCATCACTGTCTTGCCAGAAGGGTGCTTTACACTACAGTTTTTAAACTGCAACATTAACACCCCTCCTTCAGAGTGCAGGCGCTGTACTTCCCATCTCCAAGACTCAAGTCCGGCCTGCCGGTTTCCCTGAACCCCTTCATAAATGTTACTTTGCTCACACTCCAACAGCACGTCAAGTATTAAAAGCCATTTGTCTCCATTCACTCCTATCAAACACGCTCACGCATGCCTGCTGGAAGTCCAAGCCCCTCGCACACAAAACCTCCTTTACCCCCTCCCTCCAACCTTTCCTAGGCCGACCCCTACCCCGCCTTCCTTCCACTACAGACTGATACACTCTTGAAGTCATTCTGTTTCGCTCCATTCTCTCTACATGTCCGAACCACCTCAACAACCCTTCCTCAGCCCTCTGGACAACAGTTTTGGTAATCCCGCACCTCCTCCTAACTTCCAAACTACGAATTCTCTGCATTATATTCACACCACACATTTCAAAATAGGGTCCAAAATAAACAATGTAGACTTTCTTGGCACTAAAATAACATATCCTCTGTTCATTAGTCACGTCTCTAGGTCCCTCTTATATTACTATTGCTTTCTATTTTGATTTTTTATTCATACAAAAAATACAAAATTTACTGTTATGCAGACTACTGCATTATTGTAAAAATGGTATAAATAATATCAGTGCACTAGAGAAAGAATATCAGTTGACGTGTATTGGATGTGTGGTGTGATCTGCTTACTCCTGAACATTAGTAAAAATCGAACATTTCCACTACTTTGAGCTCAATTTCAAGGTCGTTTTCATTGTGAAACTAATCAAAATCATCTCTATTTCTGTAATATGTTTTCCATTTTATCACCTGAGACCATGAAAACGAGAATACAGCTATAAATACTATACGAAAATACACCTCAAAGTTGGTGTTTTAATCCAAAAGAAAAGGTCATTTTTTTCTCATTATGCACTGCGTGCTGCAGGATTTTTTTTATGTGGTGCACACTGACCACACAGACCCATTCTCTCTCATGTGGGCCTACCAGCTTTCTCCTGCTTGATTTGAAGCCGCCAGAATTTACGCGTATAAATATGTCCAAAACAGTGGCGCGTAAGACGTATATATACGACCAAAACAGTCAAAGGGTTAAACTTCATCTGCCACTTCTCTGACCACTGCATCAGTCTATTCAAATTATCCCAGAGTGCTCTAATGTCCTCATTAAAATGAATTGGACTGCCTATTTTGGTGTCATCAGCAAATTTGCTTATGTTGCTATTTATTCCCTCATCTATATTATGTAAATTGTGAACAAGGGGCCCAACACTGATCCCTGTGGAACACTGCTTGTGACGTGCCCCCTTCTGATTTCTCCCCATTTATGCAAACTCTCTGCTACCTATTTGTCAACCATGCCTGTATCCAGGAAAAAATTTCTCCACCTGTTCCATATGCCTTAAGTTTCCTCAATAGCCTCTGGTGTGGAACTCTATCGAAAGCCTTACTGATGTCCATTCCCAGTATCATATTCAGTACCATGATCTACCTCCTCAAATACCTTAGTGAAAAAAGTAAGTAAATTCGTAAGATAGGAATGCCCTTTGTAAAACCGTGCTTAGATTCGTTAATCAATTTATGCCTTTCAAGATGGCTACGAATTGCCTCGGAAATTACTGATTCCATAAATTTTCCCACTATGGAGGTAAGGCTTATTGGTCTATAGATTGAAGCTAAGGACCTGTCACCTGCCTTGTAAATAGGTATTACATTTACCATTTCCCACTTGCCTGGCACTATGCCAGTTTGTAGTGATATACTGAAATGCTAAGTTCCTCTTTACATTCCTTTAAAACCCTTGCAAACATTTCATCAGGACTTGGGGATTTGTTAGGTTTTAATTTCTCTATTTGTCTGAGGACCATGTAACTAGTTACCCTAATCGTGCATAGTTTATAATTGTCCTGTTATACATAATTTATTATTTCTGGAATTTCACTAGTATCTTCCTGAGTAAAAACTGAGATGAAATATTTGTTGAAAAGTTCACACATTTCCTTATCACAGTCAGTGATCTGACCTGAGTTACTCTTAAGTGGGCCTATCTTGTCCCTAATCTTACGTCTGTATACCTGAAAGAACCTTTTTGGGTTAGCCGTAGAATCCCTTGCGACTTTAGCCACAATCTCTTTTTGCTTTTCCTATTCCTTTTATTATTTCTCTAATTGAATATACTGATTTCCTAATTGCCCATCCCCTCTTTTAATATGCCTAGATATGCCTCTCTTTTGACCAACGAGATGTTTTAGGCTATTGTTTTTCCATTTAGGATCATTTTTGTTAGATCTAATTTCCCTACTCAGAACAAAAGTTGTCTGAGCAGCTAGCACTACGCCACCCACCTGAGCCATAGTCAGGTCATCCCAATTTAGCCCACCCAGGTAATTTCTCAGTTCCATGAAGTCAGCTAAGCGGAAGTCTGGGACAGACTTGATTGCAGTTATCTGGGTAATTCCATGATATATTGAAACAAAGTGATTTGTGATCACTTTCCTCAAGCTCATCATTAACTTTAAGATTATTAATTAGTGATTCTTTGTTGGCAAGAACCAAGGTTGTTTCCTCTAGTTCGTTCTGTCACAAACCGCTTTAAAATGCAGTCCTGAACCATATCAAGAAAGTCACTAAACTCAAGATTTCCTGTCACACTGTTCCAATTTGTCTAAAGTTAAAATTTCCCATTATCACAACATTTTCATATCTAAACGCCTTATGAATTTCATCCCATAGCAGCTTACTGCACTCCCTATCAAGATTTGGGGGCCTATAAATCAAACCCAAAATTAATTTTTCACGACCCTCAAGAAACTGTAGCCAAACAGATTCTGTGTCCGATGTTTCTAACCTTATATCTTGTCTAACACAACAATTTATATTATCTCTAACATACATCGCCACTCCACCACCCTTCCTGTTGACCCTATCAGTGTGGAATAGTTTATAACCCTGAGTGTTGCATTCAGAAGGCATTTCTCTAATCTTTCAAGCTAAATCAGGTCTCCATTATAGCAATAATATCTATATTACCTACTTTCGTTTTCCTTTCTGGGCCACCCTGCCTTGGTGGGATACGGCTGGTTTGTTGAAAAAAAAAATCTATATTACCTGCACTTGCAAGTAATCTTAGCTCATATATCTTATTTCTTACTCCTATTTGTATAGTAAACCTTAAGGGAGTAGTCACTTGTTGCCCTCTACTATCTCTCTTTGTTTAACAATTGCTTTGCCTTTACTAGCAACCTTGTTTTGAATATTGTCTTTTAAACATATCCCTGAGGTATTCTGGTAATATCTGCTGTTTTCAACCCTAGTACTGCAGCCTGGCTGTTTGCCACAAACACTCATACCTCTATAATCTATCAGTTTAAAGTCCTAGACAAGTCATCAATGACCCGCTCAATCGAACTGGCTAATGCAACCACTCCAGCCCCAGAGAGATGAACCCCATCCCTTGCATACATATCACATTTGCCACAGAATTTGTCCCAGTTATCAATGAATGGGATTGCAAGTCCTTTGCAGTACCTGTTTAGCCAGCAATTTATACCAAATGCCCTAGACATCAATTCACTGCCCACTTCCCTTCTAGACAAGATGCTACACATTATTGGGATCCCTCCCTTAGACCTGACTACATCTATGGCTAACCTGTATCTACCCAGCAGCTCCTGTCTCCTGCCCTTCCCGATGTTATTTCCACCAGCATTAAGACAGATAATGGGCTTCTTCCCATTACCTGACATATTATTATCCAACATGCTGACTATGGAGAACAGAGAATTGATTTCCTACCTTCACATCTTCTCTATTAACCTTCCTCATCTTCTTCCTGAAATGTGAACCACTTGCCACTTAAAAGCAGTTGCCACTCTCCAACTAACTGCTTGTAACCTTTTCCTGCTTACCAGCCCCAACCATCTCACACTCGCTACCAAACCCATCTAGGCAAAGTTTCAGCCTCCTATTTTCCTCCTGAAGAAGTAGAACCTCCTTCTTCAACACTTTAACCTGAGATTCTAAGACTCTACAGCAAGCCATGGTGCTTGGTAACACCCAACGCTAATTCCCAGACAGCTTAGGACAGGATGACCTCAAGTGACCACTGACGTATTCCTATGGTTCTCTCTTACGAGTGTCAATATTTACAAGAAATGGCCTTTGAGTAAGAGTTAAAATAAGTAAAAAAAATCAATTAGCATTTAGTAGTATCCAGCTAGATGATGGGTGGTTCATTTCTAGGGTAGATTTTTTTTTATCTGAAAATGTAGTCAACCTATGGGACACATCAATTTGTACACCAGGATTTACTGTACATAAATTGTTTATTAAAAAACTTTTTTTAGTTAATTATCTAAATCCTCATAC